ATGAAAACTACAAGACACTATTGCAAGAAACCAAAAGAGACTTGCATAAGTGGAAAAACATACCTTGCTCATGGATAGGTAGACTCAACATAATGAAAATGTCAATTCTACCCAAAGCGATCTACAGATACAATGCAATCCCAATCCAAATTCCACTGGCATTTTTTAATGAGATGGAGAAACAAATCACCAACTTCTTATGGAAAAGGAAGAGGCCCCGAATAAGTAAAGCATTACTCAAGAAGAACAAAGTGGGAGACCTCACACTACCTGATTTTAGAACCTATTATACTGCCACGGTAGTCAAAACAGCCTGGTATTGGTACAGCAGATACATACACCAACGGAGCAGAATTGAGAATCCAGACATAAATTACTCCACTTATGAGCAGCTGATATTTAATAAAGGCCCAAAGTCTGTTAACTGGGGAAAGTCTCTTTAACAAATGGTGCTGGCATAACTGGATATCCATCTACAAAAAACTGAAACAAGACCTATACCTCACCCCTTGCACAAAAACGAACTCAAAATATATCAAAGACTTAAATATAAAATCGAAAATGATAAAGATCATGGAAGAAAAAATAAGGACAATGCTAGGAGCCCTAATACATGGCATAAACAGAATACGAACCATAAGTAACAATGTACAAGCGCCAGAAGAGAGACTAGATAAATGGGAGCTCCTAAAAATCAAACACTTATGCTCATTCAAAATACTTCACCAAAAGATTCAAAAGTCAACCTACAGACTGGGAACAAATTTTTGACTACAACAAATCTAATCAGCATCTAATCTCTAAAATCTACAAAATACTGCAAAACCTCAACAACAAAAAGACAAATAACCCAATTAAAAAATGGGCACAGGATATGAACAAGAACTTCGCCGAAGAAGATACTCAGGCAGCTAACAGACACATGAAAAAATGCTCATGATCATTAGCCATTAGAGAAACGCAGATCAAAACTACAATGAGGTATCATCTCACCCCAACAAGGCTAGCAATAATCCAAAAAACATAGAAGAATAAATGCTGGAGAGACTGGAGAGACTGTTAGTGGGAATGTAAAATGGTACAACCACTTTGGAAATCGATTTGGC